CAATTATAAGTTTATGGGTTTGTTTGTTGTACGGATCTTAGCTGATAATCAATGAGTAACTCTTTGAATATTATATTTTCAACAAACCTTTTTTGGATCACTGTTCACCATGTTTTGGATCTCAGTGTTCTAATAACCTCAAGAGCTTTCCTTTGTTGCAAGTGGTGACGAAATATTTTGTGTGCTACCTGTGCGTGTGTGTGTGTGTGTGTGTGTGTGTGTGTGTGTGTGTGTGTGTAGGTTAGCTGTGCTTCCGCTAAGTTCTATCTTGAGGACAGAGAGTTTGGTCCAGGCTGTGGACCCAGAGCTGCAGCAGACTTCAGGGGAAAAAGCTTCTATTCAGGAACTGACAGACAGCCACATCACCAGACTGAACCTGCACTATAGCACAATGTCTCAACAACAGATCAGGTACACACACACTCACACACACACACACCACACACACACACACAACACACACACACACACACACACACACACACACACACACACACACACACACACACACACACACACATATGCACAGACACACAAATATGTCACATTCAGTCATGTCACTTATTTTTACTTCTCCAAGGGTAGAAAGCAGTGTCAATGTTATCTCTTGTTTCGCTTCTATTTCTATCACTTCTTTTCTCCTAATTGAAGTTACTATCTTGCCCAGGGTTCAAGGTATCTTGCTCAGGGGATCATAGGGACTGAAGAGCTGGGGGTCGAACCACTGAGCTTCCGATTAGTCGACCCACTCTACTCCTGAGCCACAGCTGCTGTCCATAGATCTTTCCAAAAGTTCTCGTTTTTAGGGGCTTGAATACTCTGGAGTAGTGGAAACTTGATGGAAATGTAGGCCAAAAAGTGATGGCGTTTTAAAACTAAATGTATTAGTGTGGACGCACGCTGAGGCTCCATGTTGAACTTGTGTCATCCTTCTTCTTCGCCTTGTTTTATCTTGTTTTTTATGGTGGTTGGCATTCTTCAGCTTATTGCGTGCATTACTCCCAACCTTTTGCTCTGGAGTGTGGATCAGACAATAGATGTTACAATCTAATTCCTGAAGAAAAAAAAACTAAACTACATTTTAACTTGTGTTGTCCATATCACCAGCTTCACCTTTGACTGAGCACAAAACTAACGTTAGTTGGACAGGGTGGAGGGCATCAGATGAATATGTTAACCGGGACAGGTTTCATGAATCAGGCATTGGAGAAAGTACCAACTGAATTAACTGACATAAGAGATTTAAGTTAAGGTTAATTACCCAGTCCTACTCCTAAAATATAAACACACAGTACACGCCAAGCACTCAGTTATACAGTCATAGCATGTAACGATGAAACACCTTTTATAACCTAACTGAGAGAATGAGACTTTTCACTGTGAGCATTTCAACCTGTGTGTGTGTGTGTGTGTGTGTGTGTGTGATAGTGTAGTAACTCTAGGTACAGATGACTTACCACGTCCCTCAGTGACTCCATCTTGTAGAACAACGATCAGAGGGGAGGGAGAGGGAGGGGAGAGCAGGGAGGTTAATAGGCAGGTGAGAGTGAAGTTCATGGCAGGAAGTGAGGAGAGAGAAAGGAAAGAGGCAGGAAGAGAAATAGAGGGACAGGAAAACCTAGAGAGAGAGAAGTTATTCAGTAGAGGAGAGAATTGTTTGAGAAGCAGTGGAGAGGTAGACAGAATTGAGTGGAGTTTATAATGGAGAGAGGTGGTTTAGAAAAGAAGAGGATGATAAGTATTGTTGTACAAGAGAAATGGGTGGGAGGTACTAGTACATAAAACAGAAAATGGTGGGGAGAACAATCTGGAAGGAAAGAGGCGAGAAAATGGTAAGAGTGACTGCACACAACAGTTTTTAACCACCACACTACCAGTCCACTCGAAAGGTTTTATCCCTCTAACGTTGATTACATCTCACTTTAGATATCTCATCAGAACATGGGATATCGGCTTTGATGACAAATGTATTTGTCACTAGCTAGAGGATAGCCTGGTTGGAATGAATCACGCTGTTACAGCACAGACATAGAAGTTGGTCTCAAATGTTGTGGCTCAGCATCGTGTTTAAAGTATGAAGTCAAAACTTTACATGGTGAATTCTTTATATCATTGTTATCGCTGTTAAGTGATTTTACTGATGATTAAAGAAGGAAGACAACAAACTGCTGACAAACCAAAGCACAGGGTTGAGCATCATTCAAGACATTTTCAGTATTGTGAAAATACTCTTCACTTAGTCATCAAAAATAAATACAGAAAGCCTTAGTTATTGTGAAGTCATTTAAGTAGTGAAATTTAAGTTACCATATGCCCTGGACTCAGTTGCTAAAGAAAAAAAAATCCAGTCTGATGACAATAACAGACCAGTATTTAATGTGCATTAGAATAACCAATCAATTTATAAAAATAGTGTTTCTTTTTCAGTGTCATGCCTAGAATTCAGTGATTCTACTATCAGTCCATCAGCTGCTAACTCAGTCTTAGTGTCACAGTAGACCCACGGACTCACATTACTCCACACAGGTTATGGATTTGAAGTCTTGGAAAAGACAAGTGTCACTGTGTGAATGGTATTCCACTACCTGAAGTTGAAAGTATTAGTCATCTAATAGAGAAAAAAGTTTGTATTTGTGCAGTCCCATATATTTAATACTTTTACTTTACCTATTACTGACTATTAGACCAACAACCGAGAGTTCGTTTCATTGTTGAACTGTGAGACGGCTTTAAATGCATCATTAAGGTTACATTTGTATAGTGTGCTAATACTGTAACCTGTAAGATTTCTTTTATTGGAAGTGACCACAATGACTAAAAGAGTCTAAATGTACAGATAACATAAGCAACATGTTCATATTCATGTAACTTTTCACAGCACTAGCAGTTCCTGGTGAAAGTGGACGTTAATGACTTAAGAATTATGAAAAATGGATCCACAACATTTACAAACATTTCAGCACTATTATTGAACTGACCCTCAGTGTGCATGCAACCACCAGAGGCAATAAGAGATTATATAACTCCAGTAGGTATGAATCTGACAAAGAAATAATTTCCTCAGATAATGGTCTTCCTCTTAATGGAAAAATTGATTCTCCCCCCCGCTGCCCCCCCCCCGCCGCTCCGCCACGTCTCACGGACGCTCTGTTTCCCGACTTCATCTCAGCTGTTTACTGACTGTTTACCTTAGCAGATGATCATTAGACTTTCAAAGGATGCAGTCAAGGATATAGAGAAAGACACTTAGAGGGATAGATGGAGGTCTGTGTGTGTATGTGTGTGTGTGTGTTGGGTGTGAGAGGAGAATTTAATACTGCCATTATGATAAATTACACCTCTTTCTTCCTCTCCTTCCTCTCTCTCCCTACAGTAAGTACCAGTCAGTGAACATCAGCACTAACCTGTATGTGATCAGCCAGCCTTGGCTCTACACTCTGGCCTGGTGCGCTGGAGCTCAGTCTGTAACCACCAACTCCATCCACGTCCTGTCCAACATCAACAAGCCGCTCTTCCTCATGGTAAACACAGTCAACTCTTCATCTCTATTATCAGAAAACCTGTAAAAAATCATGTGGCTGAGTCTCTCTGATGTTTCCTCCTCTAACNCACACAAAATATGTCACATTCAGTCATGTCACTTATTTTTACTCTCCAGAGGTAGAAAGCAGTGTCAATGTTATCTCTTGTTTCGCTTCTATTTCTATCACTTCTTTTCTCCTATTGAAGTTACTATCTTGCCCAGGGTTCAAGGTATCTTGCTCAGGGGATCATAGGGACTGAAGGAGCTGGGGGTCGAACCACTGAGCTTCCGATTAGTCGACCCACTCTACCTCCTGAGCCACAGCTGCTGCTCATAGATCATTTCCAAAAGTCTCAGTTTTAGGGGCTTGAATACTCTGGAGTAGTGGAAACCTGATGGAAATGTAGCAAAAGTGATGCGTTTTAAAACTAAAATGTATTAGTNCATCTAGATTACTTTTATTAAAATATTAATAATAGCAGAGGATTTTACAGATTTTAAAACATGTCTGAAGAGGGACTTTAACATCTGTTTATCACAATGATCAAACATGAAGAAGAGAAAATGTTTAACCTGATCTAATCGGATTGAACCTCATGCTAGACTGTGCAAATATTGGCATTGCTTATATACAACCATTAGTGTTTCCAAATCATATGTCTCATGCTTCATTAAATGAGTTAATCACTCACAGTGAGCATACATGGCTGTGTTCAGTTATGTTGTAAGTTTGCAGGCGACTCTGGTCATGACGTGAGGCTCAGCAAACACAGTAAAGGCAGGAGGCAGATCGCGTATCAGCCAGGAAATCTCTTCAGCAGGTGTCGAGTGTGTTTGAAGATTGAGCCTGGTTACATAAATGTTCTGTCTCACCACGTGCTCATCTGTCTAGATTCAAATGAGTCTGATCAAGGTTTTGATACGTGTGTTCAAGTCACACGTAAGAGTCATGCGCTATGGTCGCTAAGTGGAAAAATGATATTCATGTTCACACTCTTCTGTGTCTGTCCCATGTGAGGAGCTTTTGTGTCAGTAAATGTAATCAACCCTTTCTCTCTCTCCAGACTCCAGAGGAATACAGTCTGATGTGGATTCTGACTGATGCCGTGTCTGCCCTCCTCATCATCGCCATCTTCATATTCCACTGGTGCGAAAACACATACACACAGACACACACACACACAG